CACCTCCTTTGTCGTGTGCGGGTGCTGGCGTATCATCCGCAGTCTCTGCATCCCTCAGCACTGTGGTTCTTATCCCTCCTTGAAACAGCTGGCAAGTGATATCTTTATTATGACTTTGGCTCCTTCAAGATCCTCTTTGCCCAAAATAAGTGTCTCTCTAAGCAGCCTCACTCACTGAATCACTTCTAGCAGATGTCAGTAGATGCAATACATCAGGGCAGGCCTTTGATCCAGAGCCTGAACCAGCATTTTTTCCAGCTGATGTTGCCAAGGCTCCTGCCCCTGTGCTGAGCAGCACAACCTGGGGGCCTGGGCTGGCTTCCCAAGGCAGACGGCTGGGGGCACTAAGTGTAATATGATTTCTTTCCATGCATGTGCCAGCCCAGAGGAACAGAGGCAGCTGCAAGGAGCATGCAGGTTATTGTGTCTTCCAGGTATCTTAACCCACAAAGCAATGCCGGTGTTCCCAGCAAGCCGCCCCGTCTCAAGAACTACCTCTGCAAAGAGAGAAGCTGAGCGAGGTGGTCCTTCCCCCCCAGACAGCTGCAGGGCAAACCAACACTGACAAAGCATTTCTTCCCAGGCTACCATCTGGCTCACACGCTAATAGGGAACCCATGACTGGCCTGCGTGTAAGAGCACCCTCTGGTGACTCCTGAACACTTCTATCAGCCCATAAGACTTACTCATGGCTTTCATCAGGATCCCAAAGCACTTCACCAAGCCGCACGGGCAGGAGCCCACTTGTGCTACAGGTGCCAATTCATGCTCCTGGCAGGGAAGTGACTTTGCTCAAAGTCAGGAAGCGATGGCATCATGGAGAGGGTCCCCGACCAATGCCTCCCCTGCCACATAGCTGCCACTTGCTTAGATTATTTTGCCTGCGAGTCGAATTATGGCCCTAGCCTGGCAGCCCACCTGCAAGCAACCGAAACTCTGGACAGTGACCTGACTGCGCAACCGAAAGGGAGGCTAGAGAACAGGTATAGTGAGTTTATGCCTCCCTGAAGGACTGCTCGGCCACTTTCCCTGGACAGCAGCAAATAATAGAGGAATAATTAATATCCCATCAGCAGACCCAGGCATCCTTATGCTCCTGGTGTGGTTACAAGGCAAGGGCCTGGAACACCAAATTTGAGCTCTATGCGATTATGACCAACTATGGAGGGGACGGGCGCAACGCGTAGACCAGAGGTGGGCATAACGCAGCCTGTGGACCACGTGCGGCCTGCCAGGCCGTTCTATCCAGCCCAGGGGCCCCTAAAAAATTTAGAAAATTAATATTTATCTGCCTCTGGCTGCCTGTCATGCGGCCCCCGATGGCTTGCCAACACTCAGTAAGCGGCCCTCTGCCCGAAATAATTGCCCGCCCCTGGTGTAGACCCCTCTCAGGGCAACTGGAGGGCACAGGCTCCCAGGAACAGAGGGAGGGCTGTGATGTCCCTGGGCAGACACAGCAAGCTCCTTCCCCAAAGCCACGAGGCAAACACAGCTGCTACTCCAGTGCCATGCGCCAGCCTAAGATTTGGCAGGGGCTTGTCTCGTCTTCCCTCCAGCCCCAACACGCCCCTCGCTGCTTCTTCTCCCTAATTTGCATAAGTGTTTTGACACCTCATTAGCAGCTCAATTAAGAACAATGAAAACCAACTGATGCAAACACATGGAGGAACAAAGGGTTCAACTTCAGGAAGTCCCAGCCACAAGACAAATCAGCCCCGCGAGCGGCCCCATCATTAGAGGTGGCAAAGCGCAAGGCACAGTGAGGCACCCTCCCACATGTTGCTGGGTGCCACGGGCCCACCCATCCCCAGGGCACCCGGACACACTTGTCTTCACCCCCTGCTCCAGCGAGCAGGGAAGCACCAGCCTTGTTATGGCAGAGCGGGCGACTGGGTGCAGACAGGAGCTGGCTTGGCTAAAGGCCTGGGCTGGTCATAGCTGGGCCCTGACTACAAGCACCCAGCTGCCCCAAGGCTCAGGGACTTGCCCCTGTAGCTTGTGGCCCTCAGCAGGCCTCACAAGCCCCCAACAGCCCCCCGCGGGGAGCACCCACCGCCCCCACTCTCGGCTCTGCTGGGGGGAGTCTGACGGTCTCCACTGGCTCCCAGCTGCCACCCCACAGGCTGCTTAGCACGGGTCCATGGGGATGTGAATTGTTTTCCTCTGCTCCGCTGGATCCTCCCCGTCTCCCCACAGACCTGCTGTAAGCGAGTGGCTGGGCCTGCCCCTCCGGCACTGCGGCGCCTCGCTGCCGCTCCACCCGCACCTCCCACTGCCTCCCCTTCCCGGCGCTTGCTCCTGGGGTCACTTGGCCTTCCCTTCCCAGGCCAGGGGAGGGCCAAGCTGAGCCTCGACCCTATCTCCTCGTGCAATGGCAGGGCCTGCCTGACATGCCTCTTCCCTGCAGCCGGGAACTGCCACCCCTAGGTTTCTGCCCTACTCCGCTCCTCAGAAGGATCCTGGTCCGTACACCTCCATCCTGCTAAACGCCAGCCTGAAATGCACTGCTCACCTTGGGAGCAGGCCGGGGTCTCCTCCCTGTGATGGCCAGGCTGGGGGGAGTTGGCAGGACCTCTGAGAAGGTCAAGGGGGAAAGATGCTCGGCCTCTGAAAGCTGCTGTCCCTGGAGCTGAAACCCAGGAGTCCTCACCTAGTCTGTCCCGAGGCTCAGCCCCTCTCCCTTCCCCGCACACCGGGGCAGGGAGAGCCAGCCTGGAAAGGGAGGGCTGAAAGGGGGTGCAGAGGAGCAGGAGGGTTACAGTATCCACACCTGCTGCAGGGAGCAAACCCACGCTGTGCAGGGGGCGGCAGAGGCTGGACACCCTAACACGCAGGGGCGTCTGCCGGGAGGGGGCGAGGCGTGCTGGGGGCTCTGCGCTTGTGGGGATCCTGAGAGCATGAGCAAGCACCGCACTGAGGCCACAGCTGAGACGGGGCTGGCCAGCCTCTATTCACCGTCCTGCTCACGTGGCCCCTCAGGCTGTGAGGACCCGGCAGTGCAGGGCGGTGGCTGATGCTGGGGCGCCCGGGGCCACTCCTAGCACCCCTGCCCAAGTGGAGCGAGCACACACAGTGTGGGTCCGCAGTAGCAGGTAGGGGAGACTAAAAGCAGCTGGGGAGAGGGGCTGCTCTGGCCTGCACCCCTCCAAGGCACCTGCCCTGTCTGCTGCAGTGCTCTGCTACTCCCCCGCCCCAGTGGACATCCTGGTGACCAGAGCGATGGGGGTTTGTGCATGCTACCCACCTCCGACAGGCCACCCAGCAAGCCCCACACCCCTCTGTGCCCCTGTCTACCAGGGACAGCGACCCTGGTCTAGCTTCTCGGGGAGCATGGGGGTCGGCCGGGAGGGACAGGGTTACCCTCCCGCCACATGGGCTGGGACCCAGGGCTTCACCTGCTCTGCCTCCAGCAGGAAGAGCTTCACTGCTGCATCGCTACCAGTGGAAAAACCCCACATCTGGCAGCACAGCCTCAGCAGTTTGGCTGCCACCTGTTATGCTGCAGGAGCCACGCTTTTCAGCTCGGGCTGTAAAGAGACAAACACCAGCTGCCCACTGGAAACCAGTTTAATTGATTCCACTGGTGTCAATTAAGGCTGGCATGGAGGCAGCAGCCACCAGAGCCCTTCCAGACACCCACCCGCCTGGAGCCAGCTTCTGCAGCACCAGCTCTGACCTCTGGTGCCCACCCACGTGACCCCGTGGGCCTGAGAGCGCGCCTGGCCCCAGCACCTTGCTCACTAGCGCTCACTGCTCTGCTTTTTACCATGAGAATGAGCCGAGACAATCTAATAATCAGACCAGCAAATAACCCCGATCTGGACAAAGTCACTATTCGCTGCCTGGCTGGGAGAAGCGTGGCTTCCTGCGCGCTCTCCTCTATCATACAGCGAGATGCCCAGGGGGCTCACCCCCGACCCCCGCCACGAGGGCGTGGGCTCGAGTCCCCACAGTCCAAGCATCCCCATGGAGAAGGGCACTTTGGCAGCACTTTGGGCAGTGCCTCCATGGCAAAATCCTGCTCCGGCCACAGCCGTGTTGCGCTAGAGTAACTGTGGGGGTGTCAGGAGCCTGCTGTGGGGATCAGGATCAAGCCCACAGCCCGATTTAACTGGCTTCTGGCACAGAGCGGGGATACAGACGCAGCAACACAGGCTGGGGGCACTCCCCAGAAGACAGCACAGCCTCCCCACAGCCAGCCCTGCCCAGGGTCTGCCAGCCCCTGGGAGCCTTCCCCCCCTGCCAGCCCTACACAGGTCAGCTCCGAACCGCCCCCCACCCCTCCTCTCATCACACTTTGGGCCAGATCCTGCCCGGGGGCAGAGCCTCCTCTGCTCTCCTGGGGCTTCTTCCCCCAGCAGGATCTGGCCCGTTGTGATTAATCACACTCCCAGACAGCCCAGCCACCGTGCCTTCAAGCAGCAGGCGCCCAGGGGCTGCGGGGCTCTTTGTGGGGTTGTAAAGGCATTTTGGGTGGGGAGGGGTTATGGTCTGCAAGGGCAGCACCTGGGATGCAACTCCCGCCTGCCCAGGGGTTCACGAGGGGGATGGCCAGAGCCTGGGAGCTGGGCGATGCTGATGGCGACTATCGCAGATTCAGCAGGACACGGCTCTCAGGGCTGCACCAGCCGCAGGGCAAGGGGCCAGATAAACGCTCGCAGTGTAGCACCTTGCTGCCACGGCCAGGCACAGCAACTGGTGGCTCTTTGGAGACTCCCCGGCTCAGGCTCCAGCCTCCCAGCCCTGTCACACCATGGATCCCACCAGGCACGGCAGCTTGTCCCCTCAATCCCAAGCCCTGGGACTCTGTGCAGGGAGGACTTTAGCTGTAGTGATGCACCAAAAAGATCAGAGCCCATCCCTGAGAAGTAAGGTGCGGGGCCAGCAGCTGGGAGACTTCACCGCATGGCAACGGGAGCCCAGGGGACACGGTAGCTGCCCCCCACCATCCAACCTGTCACAAGAGCCTGACAAACTCGCCCAGGAACTTGGGAACTTACTGCAGTCGTCCGACTCGTAGCCCTCGGCATCCACCACCTCCTCCTCGGGCTCACGCCGGGCCGGCGGCTCAGTGGGTGTTGTGCCGTACGCCCCGAAGAGCTGGTCCACGTCCTCATCCTCTTCCCGGGGCGTCTCGGAGGGGCTGACGGACGACTGGCTGACGGCAGAGCGCAGGGTGTTGCTGCGGCTAACAGTGGCGGGGAGGCCGCGGGGGAAACGGGGGAAGTAGTCCGAGATCTGCTTGATGGGCTTGATGGGGCCGGGGCAGACGTCAATGGCCATGTGCTCCTGGATGCTGATGGTCATTTTCTCTCCTTTTCGGAGTGTCATGCATGCGGCTCTCGGCGGGAAGCACCCCCGGAGAATAGCGCGGCGAGGGGGAGG